CCACGCACCCGAAGCGGGCTCAAGCGACAGCTCGTCCAAGTATCGCAGATTAGGGCACAATTAAGCCGCGATAATATATAAGCAGGGCGGGAGCTCGCGAGGGTGCGACAAGGCGACCCACCACCGCGCTCCAGTCTGACGCGGTGTCTCGCTGCCTCTCGCACACATTTCTCTCTATCTGTCTGTCTTTATCTCTCTCTTTTCTCCCCCTCTCTCACTCTCTTTCACTCACTCTCCTGGAGCTGTTGGGTGCCTCCCACCCGCGTAGTCCCGCGCGCGTGGTCTTCTTCTTGCTCTGGACGCTTCCGCCGTGGCCCGCGGCCTCCGGTCTCGGTTCGCGAGCTTGTCCTGCGCACTGCAGAGGGCCGCGGGGCCTACATGGCTTACACGGCTGCGGGGCAGGCCGGGCATTTTCGCTCGCGCAGGCGGCCGCAAGTCGGCGGATTCTAGCGGATTTCCAGATTCCTTTGGCCGGAAGCGCGCGGATGGTGATAACGACGGGCAAGTCGTGCGATAGAGTTGGCCCCATGCGTTCTACAGGGCGCGTTCGAGGTGCACCCAGAAAATGGTTTCATTGAGACTAGGGAATTTCCTTGAAATTATTGGCTTCACTCTAAATGGGGAGGGACAATTTTTGTACCTTAGTTAGATGTGTCTTTGAGCACATCTTCATCAGATACAAATTTGTCTGTACAGAGGTACAAAGTGTACCTAGGCTAGGTACAAATGCTATATTTTGTATGTGACTTGGATGCAAATTTGCATTTGGTTTAGATGTGCTCAAAGACACATCCAGCCTACGTACAAAAATTGTCCCTCGCCATTTAGTGTGTTTGAATTAACGAAATTGACCTAAAAGAAACACGAGGAAATTGTTTCCTTACATTAAGGGAAAATTTGCCTTAACTCAAGAATTTCACTGAAAAAAACAAAGGTCCTAAGTCCTACCTTTAAAAGGTACTAAGCGTTTAGTGCCCGCACAAAGCCACTAATACTGCTAAAGGCACTAATTTTTAGAGTCTTTAGGGCTCTTTTGTAGCCTTTACAGGGGCACTGACCTCAGAATTTAGTTAGTGCCCCAGGAAAGGAACGACTCAGCACCTTTGTTTTTCCAGATTGTTGTTGTCGTGAAACCAAAGAAATTTCTTTAGAACGAGATCAAAATTTCCTTATGTTGTCTCAAGGTTGCGATTTTCTGGCTGCTGCTGGTCCGGAGCGGGCGCGCGGGCGGAGCACGCCGAGTACACAGTGTGACGCATGTCGCCCACCCGTCATACGCGGCACAACAACAGGTAGCAGGTGTAGTAGTAGGGCCGGAAGTAGTCGTTCTCGTATACGCTTCGCACGGAGCGAATGCGGCACTGTAAAGGGGAGGGGCGGCGGTGCGCGTTACACAGTGTGTGGCCATCTCCCCCGCGATACAGTAAGCGCTGCTGCTGCCTCCAGCGGCCGCCACGGCCCGGCCGCTGACCCGCTCCAGAACACTATGAGATGAGATTGGGCTGGACATTGGGGCGTCTATCAACCAGCTGCTGGCCGTGAGGGGGGGGGGGGGGCTGGTGACTTTTCCACACATCATGTGCGCCTTCTGGATGCCGTAAAGCGGG